GGAGTGACCCCAGGGGCTGCGGAGGAAGGAGCTGGCAGAAGGCTCTGGAACAGCAGCTGGACAGTACAGGTTCACGAGGAGCACTGAGTCTTAACCTCGTGGGAGAGGAGCTGGAGAAGCTCAGAGGTATCTGGAGACAAGACCAGGAAGACCTGAGCTGAGCCATACGTATGGTGACCATCAGGCGGAGGCCTCTATGGGGACGGAGTTGGACCCATCGGAAAACTCAGAGGCTCACCAGTATCTGGGTTAGGGGAGCAGAGGGCAGACTCCAGTTACCGGGAGGCCCACTCAACTCTCCTTGTACCTAGGAGCTCCCTGCCTGTGTCGCTGGTGCCTGTTCTGCATGTCCCACCCTCCTTTCCAAACCAAGGTCACCAAAATCACAATTTTCTTTTTATGGGCCTCGCATACAGGGTCAGGCAAAAATAGAATTACAGTGGCAAGTACACAAAACACAGTTTGTTCTTATATTATTATTTATTAATTATTGTGTTGTTTTCCCTGCAAACATCTGTAACCCTACTTTGCCCCACCCTATATGGTGGACACTACATAAATATTACTAAATGAGTGAAGCTCCTTGTTAGAACTGAAGTTGCACGTGGCTGGAGGCTGCTTGGTTCCCTAGTTGAACCCCCACAACCTAGAATAGAACAGGCACATCACAGGTGCTCAAAACTACTTATTTAATACAGTGAGTGATAAGCTGGCAGAAATTATAGTTACTATGACTCAAAGAAAGTGACAAAGCGACCAGCGACCAGAATCTTTTTCCCAAGGTCGCACCACCACGGAGGACAGACAGGGTAGATGAGCTAAGTCTTCCCAGTTCTGAGCTGGTCGCTTTCCTGGGCTGCGGTGCCCCCACTGGAGGAGAGTTGAACTGCCCTGCATGCCAGCAGATCCCTGGCCGGTTCCAGTGATGAGAGGACCCACTGCCTGTGATGGGGGCACTGAGGGCCGGAGGTGGGCCAGGGGTGGGACTGAGGGCCGAGAGGAGAACCCAGGTTGCACTCAGCTTGCATGGACACTCAACACATTAGTGGCTGAAGGAGCACGAGTGGGAGGTCAGAGTGGAAGCTGAGGGAGTAATCAGAACCTTAGGAGGAATCGCCTAGAAGACAAAGTAGAGAAGAAAGCAGACTGAGTCTTGGAAACTCGAAAAGAAAGTGTTCGATGCAGGAGGTCCTTGGGGAGGAGGCTGAAGACTGGCAACGTCTTTCCGCTGAACTCAGCTGAAAGAAGAAGTCACGGTGTTTAGGAGCAAGAGCTCCACAGGCACAGTTCAGGTCTCCACCCGGCCATTTGAGTGACTCCCGCTGCTGCATGAGAGACTTGCCTCTCAGGGCTTCAGTTTCCTTATTTGTATACTGATGGATGCTACCTACTGATAGGGCCCGTAAAATGCGTGCCCAGAACCCATGACAAGGGAAGCACTCAATAAATGCTGTGATTTTTATGTTGGTGGCGGTGCTGTTATTGCAAGGAGTGACCTTGAAGAAGAAAACATTAGTTCAGTGGGGAAGGGAAGGGAAGGGAAGGGAAGGGAAAGGAAAGGAAGGGGAGGGGAGGGAAGGCAAAGGAGATGGGAATCAGACAGCAGGAAGGCGAGGGAGCCGAAGAATCAGTGGGTGTAGATCACTTTGCCGGGGAACTCAGTAGGGCAAGAAGTCAACAAACCCAGAGGCTGGACAGTGGGAAGGGCAAGCAGTTTCCTTAAGAGAGAAAAGGAACGTGAATGTGCACAGGCAAGAGGGCGGGGACCTGCAGAGACGGGCAACGGAAGCTGTCACAGAGAGGTGAGAGCTGGGGGCAGGTCCCAGGAGTAGGCAGAGACGCGCCTCACCCCCCAGGAGAAGAGTTGCCCCAGGGTTCCGGGCACCCCAGCCTGCCTTTGTTCCTTCATCAGCCTCCCCCATAGGCCGGGGTTGGAAGGTCTTTCCTTCAACCTCTTTCAGAGAGTGCGGTAGAAAGCAGACTTACCTACAAGTCAAAAGGCCCAAGTTCTGGTTTGACCCTGGCTATTTGTACTTGGCTGAGCCCTAGTCCTTCTTGAGGTCTTGCGTCCTCCTCTTTGTCCCCAGAGCGGTCATCTCAGTGACTCTGTAGCCACGTCATTGCACTAAGTATCATAAAATATTTCCTCTTCTGAAGTTTTTCTCCACTCTGATTAGAAGGAAGGAAAAAAAAGAAATCTTTGAGGGGAAGCTATTACTTCGTCCAGCAATTGGGACAGTGGATCTGTTTCAGACATATTGCCAGCAGACCTGGCAGCACCCAATACCGTCCACACTGGCAGATCGAGGCTGAGCCTCCTGGCGTTTTAAATAGCTTGTGCACTTTGTCTTGGCTTCCTGGAACCAAGCGGGAGCTTTGTGCGAGGCTGAGTGTTGCTGTTGACAAGGCACTCGTGGCTGCAGCCTTCTGAATCCTCAGAAATAACAACAATTACTGTGCACACCACACTCCGTCCTCCAAGGCGGCGGATGCATCAGCTGCTGGTTATTTTGATACCCTGGATAAAAAGCTCTTTCAAGACAATCTAGTGCAGAAAAACATTCTTATCCTCTGCTTGTCTGTACCATTCCTTCTGCCCTCTCTGTTTTTCATTCCTATAATGTAGCTGGTCCAAACCTTAAGGTCCTTTCAATGACCCAGGAAAAGGACTTTCTGCTTACACCGTTTGAGAAGTGGAAGAGGCAAAGGAAGAGACATCTGGGCGTGGTCTCTGTATCAAGGTCGGTCTGATCTGGAACCGGCTGGAAACCGATCCAGTGTGGACGGGTTGTTTGGCAGCCACAAATGGCTCTGAATCCAGTTTTGGATTCAATAAGCATTTACTGAGCACCTACTGTGTGCCCCTCAGTACATGGGGGACTCAAAGAAATGTGGCCAGGGCCTAATAGTCAGCCCCCACTAGAACACAAGCTCTCTGAGGACAAGCACCGCAGCTACCCAACAGTGCCTGGCACGGAGTAGACTCTCACAGCTAATCTCTGGAGTGCTTTTTTGTTGCCTACATATTGTTATTTACTGTTTTTTCCAAGATCCTTAAAATTAAACCAACATGTGCCCTCAGAACATGATCGAGAATTTGAGGGGGGGGCACCTAAGCTTATATTCCGCTTACATCATTTTTACATTTCCTTCCTACACACCACATGAAAAAAAGCCCATGAGTGCCCCAGATCCTTTTGTCCTTCTGGGTGATGCTGCAAGGACACAGACCAAAGCTCTGCATTCAACAACTAAATTCTCTGTTATTCTAAAATTCTCAACTTTATCCCTAAATTCTCGGGCAGCTGTTACATAAGGCTTAGGGCTGGTGCTTTCAAACAAGTTTATGCAGGACATGATTGATGAGTGAATCTGTCCTATTGTCCAGAAATTTCTTTGTTTAATTGACAACGATAAATTTCTGATGGATCATCCTGACTCTGATGCCACTTGCACAGAAAGGGCCATTTATGATGATCCTGGTGGCCAGCACTCACCTCCAAGTGTGTCCCCCCACCAGTCTGCAGTGAACAGCTCAGACAGGGACAAGACTTGGCTGGGAAATAATGAGGCCACACCACTCCAGTTCCAGGGTCTTCTTCCTATCTCTGCCTCCTCAGAACATGCACAAATGGGGTGAACTCAGGTATGGGGCAAAGGTGGAACCTGGAAGAATAGGAGACCTGAGACCAATCTCTATTAAGAGCCTCACCTTGCTCAAGTGCCTTCCACTGGGGGGTGAAGAGCCACCCTTGAACTTATGGCAGGAGCCCCTATACCTCAGTAAATCCAGGCACCAACCAAGGGACCCAGTGCCTCTCCCCCTCTTGGTCCCTCTCCCCACATCCTTTTCTCCCCTGTGCATCTGGCACAGGCAAGGGGTTCAGCATACGGGGAAGGAGTGCAGACATCTGACTGTGTTCCATGCCGAGAAAGTGGGGCGTGAATTTTAAGACCTACAGATTCCCCAGAACATTATTACAATGAAGGATGCACATTTGGTGAAAAATCGGACTTAAAGGATATTTCTGACTTGCCAGTTGGGGCTGGGGTAGGAAAGGACCAGTGGTTGGTCAGGCAAGCTGCCCTGTCAGCTCTGAATCCAAGGTACCCAAGAAATGTTGGATGGCCAGCCAGCAGATCCCACCTCACTTAAAGTCCCCCTGTGGGGATAAGGAGGAATTTGGGGTGGGCCTGGGGTAGCACAGAAGGCTGGTTGTCTGGGTCAGTTTAGAGTCAGAGATCCCTTGCCAAGCTGATAAAAGTTGTAGACCCTCTACCCTGAAAAATTGCACGTCCTGCACACAAACGTACAAATTTGCTTACAGTTTCAGGGGGGTCAGCGACCCCAGGAACTTGCAGAACTTAAGGCCCTGAGTCTGGATTATGACACTGAAAGCCTCTGTTTCTGGTCCGCGGCGGAGCTCGCCCCTGCCCAGGGGCCTTCTAGCTGGTTCTGGGTCCGTGGAGCACGGTCCTCCCCCGTCAGGGCAGAGGCAGCACCTGCATCTTAACGGCGCTCCTTTGGGCGCTGGCTTCCGGGTGCCGGTGACGGGAGGCATCCCAGGAGCACAGCTCCCTTGGCATTTCTCCCTGGACGGTGAAGAGCAGCCAAGCCGAAGGTACGGAGGGTGAACAGGGTAAACCGCACAACCCCAGGCATTGGCGATGTGCAAAGCTCTGTGTGTGTGTTGGGGATGGGGGACGGGGAGACCCGGACAACTCCGCCCACCCACAGCCCATTGGCCCAGTGGCCACCAGAAGTCAGCACCCCGGCCTGGTGCCCCTAGAAAATGCGCACCAGTGCTTGGCTTGCACAGCCCCTTCGACCTCTGTGCGTTTCCATTTGACCTCTGGGATTTTGACCTTTTCCTGGCTGTGTTGAGCCAGATTTACTGGGAGCGATTGATCGCTAGTCCCCAAGACCCCCTACGGCTAGGCACGGCAGCCCAGCCCAAACAGGTGCGGGGCTCGGGTTAGGGGGGCCTGCAGTGCCGGATTCGGATTTGGAGTGAGGAGGAGTCTGGGAGGAGGGGCTAAGAAATTGCAGAAGCAGTGTAAAAGCCGCTCCAAGCTCCTGCACGGCAGAGAGCGCCGGGAGCCCGAGGGGAGCGCAGCTTTGGGTGAGTCTGGCGGCCCGGAACTCGGCCCCGAGAGGGGCGCAGCACCGGTGGGAGTGAGGGCCAGCGGGGCGGGGCTCCCCTGGAGACAGTGCATGGATCCCGGCTTAACACCTCTGGGAACCCCCAGGGGCTGAAGTGCAGCGGTGAGAGGAATGTGCCGAGTGGGTGCGGGGGTGCGGGAGCGCGGGAGCCTCGGCGGGAGGGCGGGCAAGTTGTTGGGAGCAGCAGTCTTTCTGGTCTCAGAGTTCTCGGTCTCCCAATGGTCCGAAGTTCAGGAGGCCACCCAGGCGCCTGCAGGAGCTGCACCACTGTGCCAGGAACTATTAGCTCGAAGGCTAGAAGGGGACAGCGCACAAGTGAGGGAGAGCGAAGGAGCGTGAACGGTGATGCGCGGGCGGGAGCGCGCCTGGACGGGAGGAGTGGTGGTCTTCACCGCTGAGCCGAGCGCGCTGAGCCGGGACGAGCTCGATTGTGCGAGGAGTCTGGAAAGTGCTGCGCTGCCCCTACGTAAGGGGACTGGAGGGGCCCGGCGTGCTGGATCTGGTGCCAGAAATGGAGCAAGAGTCTTGGGGCTCTTCTGCACTGGCTGGAGGCCTGGGAGTCCTAAAGGAGGGCCCCCGGAGCTTGATGGCAAAAGCCTGCGCACCAAGGGACCTCCATGGAGCCACGCTGGATCGAAGTCCCCAGGGCTCAGAAGGGCTTCTTGGGTCACATGCCTCACCTCCAGCTGTCTGCTGCCAGGTGTGGGAGAAGCTGGCATGGAGGGGTGGGGCGGGCAGCGCCTTGGGTCCAGGCAGCAAAGACTGAGGGGAGAGAGGATTCAGGGATCGGAGAGCGGCATCTCTGAGCCAACACAAACAAGAGGCTTAGCTCCGTTTGATTACAACTTTCCTTATCCTTTCAACAGCAACAACAAAAATCTCTGAAATTCTCACGGAAGGTGTTTTCTGCTTGAACTTTCTCTTCTCTTGCGACTTGAGAGGTTAAAAAAGAGCTTGCTTGCTAGGCTGGTTTTTCCAAGCTGTTCCAGGTTAGAAGTTGTAACAGTATGAAGGATAATTTATGGGTGTTTCATGCATTAAAGTGTATTACTGCAAAGCCTTTTGGGTGCTGTGGGTATTAAGGAAAACTCAGTGCATGTTCCCAGCTGGAAACCAAAATAGTGCTCTCCTGGGTGTCTCTGCCCCGTCTGTCATCCTGGAGAAAAGGCGCTTGATTAATTGTCCTGGCTCCATCCTCTGGGTGCACCCACTGCCCGTGCCAGCCCCTCCTCCCCCACGTGCACAGCCAGCTGCATTCTGCAAATCCAGAAACGTGCAGGAGGGCCCACCAGTAACTTATCTCCAGGGTCTTCAAGCTCTTGAAGCTGTCATTTAAGCCTGCTGGAGGGGAATATTTCTTGTGCAGTGTTTACAGTTTCCTACCGAATGTCTGAAACTTTCTCCCTCGGCAGAGCCGCAGAAAAGAATCTAGAGAGTCTGCTTTAGATGTCAGCCTAAGTAGCCCCGTTGTCAGTCCGTGAGGGGCAGTGTCCCTAGAGGTTCAGAGGGGACAGGGACCTGGGGGTGGGGGACTGTGAGAGTAGTCTGTGGCCGACACTGTTGGCATGGACACACAGAAGAAATGAATGCTCCTCAGACTTGGGTCCTTGGAGGGGGTGTGGCTAATATCACATGCTACCAAACCCCTGCCCCATGCTTGTCCCAATATTTTTATGCAGGTGAAAAAAAGGGCAGCCTCGAAGGGGAAAATGTTAGGAGTCACCCCCAAGGTCTCCAGGGCATGGGGCCATATGTTTGAATGAACTGTGGGAGTACCTGAGAGGACTTTATAACCAGCTGCTGGGACCATACCTTCCCTGGGCAGCAATCTTACCCCTAAAGCAGCCCACCCCACTAGAGAACTGGAACGTTGGTTCCACTCAGGGCGCCCATCCTCATATTGGTGACTCTCTCTGCACCCTTGGGCTTTCTCAAGGAGTGAGGTTCTCACCTCTCCTATTGCCCACCTACACCTCCCACCCAGACAACCAGAGTAAGGAGGGGAGGAAACTCCATACTTCTCTCTCTCCCTCCCTCCCTCTCAGAAATCTGTGCCTTGGCCAGGAAGGGGGCCCCAGCTGCCGACATCAGCAGGGAGGGCAGGGCAGGGCAGGGCAGGGCTGCAGCCCGAGGGAAGTTTCTCATCATTACTGAGATTAAGCTGATGAGCAAACCGCACAACTTCACTTATAAATGCGAGTGGCACTACTGCCACACACTCGTGGAGCACCCCATTGCCACACGGCTACATGGGAGCCACAGAGAAACTGCAAACGAAACACAGCTACTGCTCTTCCCGAATGGGCACCAGGCAGGGGCTGAGCAGACATCGGTGCCACACCAGGGACCAGAGGCCCAGCCATGCGTCTTCTCCGAGAAGACCTTGTAGGACTCCAGGGCCCAGAGTAGGTAGGTCTTGGAGACCTTTGCTGGCAGCAAACATTCTGCTCTCAGGAGGCAGTGGGAAGCTTGTTGAGGATTCACTTAAAATCTCTGGACACCTCTAAGCAAACACCCTCTGTTCCCAGAGGGTTTCTCTTTCCTTGACTGGCAACTCTGATCTTACAAACCATCAGCTACACCGTCAGTTCACAGGCTTGGCTGGTACGAGACATCGACTCTGTGATGGACCACTTTTACAGACCAGCATAGGGTGGTGGCATCAGGCAAATAAATGGAGATGGAAGGCCCTTCCCCAACCCATTCCCAGGGACCTTGCCTCCTGACGGAGGAGAAACGCTTAACATCCAAACTCCAAATAGCGGTAAAACCGAGATGGCCCTGAGGCAGAAATGCAGCTGGAGAAACTGAGGCTTCAGGGTCACCAGCCTTCCAGTTGGGTGAGCACAAGAATTGACATTGTGTAAGCCAAGGAAGATAGCCCTTCAGCCACAAAGTCTGACCAGAATAGTGAAAGCATATAATAAGTAAGAGTTTCTCATGCTTCTTGATGTTTTTATCATCCTCCTGTGGGCTACTTTACATGTTTCTGGGGAGTTTCTATAGACACTGGCCCCAGATTATGACACAGTAGGAATCAGACTGTAGCACTGAGGTGATCTCTTGATATTTTTCTCCTGTGTTTTGGGTAGCTTTCCTATGGTAGTGTCCTGAGTTCTGAGACAGGAGGGAAAGTAGCTTTGTGACCTTGAGCAAGTCACTAAACTTCTCAGGCTCCAATTTCCCAATCTGTAGGGCAAGTGCATTGAATTATTAGTGTTTCTGAATGGGACTGTTGGCAGCTGGAGACAATCTTGGGTAAGTATGACCTATTTACATAATGCAGGAAGTTTAGTATCCCCATTTTATCTACTAAATGCCAGAAGTCCTGGTGACTACCAAAGATTCCCACCCCCCACCCGCCATGCCATATATGGCTAAATGCTTATTAAAGGAGTACAATTACTCCCAGTTGAGAATTCCCTTGGAAATTACCCATGGGGACCTTTCTTCCAGGGCCTGATGTTGAGCATCTATTTTGTCACTGAGTCGGGACTTCAGAAGCCCAGCCCTGAGCCTGACTCTCCAACAACCAGCATTGCAGGCTCCAAGAAGCCACTGACAGGAACGTCAGTGCTGTCGTCCCACCTGGCACCATCCTTTGCCTTTTGTCAATGGAGCGTAACTACAAGTGACCCACATGAAAACAAAACCAGAAAGAACAGGGGGAAGGGACAGGTGGTACCAGAGTGCCGCGGCCTCCGCCTGTGCCATATACTATTGAAAACACAGGCAGACTGCTTGCCCCAGGTGTCCACTGCACTGGGGGGAGGCCGTGCCCTCCTGCACTAGATGGCTGGCACCGTGGTACCAGGAGGTCCCTTCCCTGAAGGAGAGAACGGGGAAGCAGAGCCCTCCCCAGCACTGACAGCACTCCATACTCCATGGGTACACGTTGGTATCAAATTACACGGGGCCCAAGCTGTGAGAATAAATGGGCATCAATGCTGTGACATTTGATTTTAAGGAGCAGGCTAGCAAGGCTGCCCCGGAGGGGTGGTGCTGGCAGCTTGGGGTCGATTCTCAAAGAGAACGGCTCCCGTTCTCCTTACCTCTGGCCCAGTCTCTCACTGGAGGACAGAACATTAGAGCCATTTGGTTATTCACAGGCAAAGGGCTAAAATGAGTGCCTTTGGAGGACATTACAGAAAAACCTACTCACCCATAAGCAGTAGGAGAGAGGAAACTACTGAAGCAGCAGGGTTGGTAGAGTCTGGAGCTGCTTTCTAACGAGGCAAAAATAAATAAAGCAAGGACTGGGAGACATAAGGGGATACCCAGTGAGGCTGAGATGGGTCTGAGACTACAGTCTGTCAGGTGGGACTAGAAAATGCTTTTTGAATTGCCCAAGAGTTTGGCCAAACTCTTTCACTTGCGGAAAATCTTTTCGTTAGCAGTAGTATTAGTCAGAGCCAGACAGTCGGGGTTTCCCTGAAAACTTGCCACTGGGCTAAGCAGATGGAGAGGTTTTGGCACTGCCTTTGGTGACTTCTGCAGGTGGAAAGGAGCTGGCTCCGAAGTCAGTGGCAATGAACAGCCCAAGCCTCACACAGAAGCCATGTCATGTGGAGGGCAGTTACCATCCACTGTGGTTGGAACACTTTCCCAGGAACCACTGAGTATTTGCTGTTTGGTGCGGATGGGCTGATTTTTCATTTTCCTGTGGCTCTTCGGGCAGTAGCCAGGGTCTGCTTGCTGCATGCTGCTCCAGAGTGAGCCCAGAGAGGACCACCTGGAGGAAGCCATGAGTGCTCAGCCCAGGTTGGGGGTGCAGGGAGGTCCTGTCGCAGCCCCTCATCACTGTGGATCTGAGGTGTGGTTATGGTGACTTGCAAGCCTTACTGGCCCAGTCTGGTGAAACGCCATGGGTCCCATGCTAGGACCCGAGCAGACCTGGCTCCCGGGTTAACACCCTGGGGTACCACTGGTGTGGGAGATCCCAGGAGAGCCAGCCTGCCA